TTTTTCCGAGTCCAAGTTCCTAATAAACTTTGATTGCAGTAAAATTTTTCATTAAGTTAAGGCACAATTGCAATTATTGCGTAACGCAGCAATATATTTTATTTGAAACAAAAATATAGGATTTATAATTTTCAAAAACGAACTTAGCATCTGTTTGCCTTTGAATTTAAACAAGTTTTTCTTTCTGCACTGGGGTGACAAAATGAAATACAAATCAAATTGAATTTTATTGTATGGATTTAATTACAATGGAACTTTCCTATTTTTCAATTTCGAAAATTTTTCAATAATCTCTTCTATATTCAAATTATCTAAAATATCAGACGACGAGTTTAAGATAGTTCTATGATTTAAATTTTCTTCCGTCATAGATGTACGTAGACGATCTTTTATTCTCTTTAACTTTGAAAATGCTCGCTCGCTACTAGAATTAGTTGTTAAAAATGTATGATAAATTTTCAATAATTTTTCTACATTCTTATAATTAGATAAATTTTTTTCAATTAATAACTTTAACATAACATTTTCGCAACTAATTTCCTTCGATTTTTCGTCGGTAAAGCACTGATAAAATGTCTTAAACTGGATCAATTCTTCAGCCAAATCATCATCGAAATCATCCACGTATATTTCGCATTATTTTTTGGCATGGTGTCTTATATCCGCAGTACTCATTACTGTAAATTTGCTTAGAAATGAAAACCGACCACTTGTTTCTTCGTACGCTTTCATTCGGCTTTGAATGGATACAATAAACTTATCGATCACAGGAAGAAATGAATTGACATAAAAACTTTTCTTTGGTTCGAACTGAGTATCAGCGGCTTTTCCAAAATCTTGATGAACCAGTCGAGTCGATCGTTGCGATGTACGTTTATTCAACTGTTGATAATCATCATTAATCTTGGCAAGGTGCTCAATTCTATCGAAATCATCTCGCTTGCCTTTAATGTACTCAAGCAAAGACTGTAATTCTGCTATAGCAGTGTTAAAATCTATATTTAGATTTTGCAAAGATATATTCACTGCATTCACTCTTTGTAAAACTTCATTCCACATAACCGTATAGATGCAGGTCTTCAATCTGCCCATATTTAAATAGAGACCCATTGCTTCTGAGTTTTCTGAAGAAAATTCCAAAAGAGTTGAGAGGAAATGAGGGTATCCAAGAAACAAAGCTTTTACAGCATCTGCGCGCATTTTTTTTTTCAAATTTTTTTTCAATTTTTTTTGCGATTGGTGGAGGCCTTTTTTGGTGGAGGCCTATAGGCAGCTGCCTATTCTGCCAATACGTAAGTTCGGCACTGCCCCGCCGAAAAGATGCACGATTAAATTAGTATTTAAGGAGCATAAAAATTAGGCTTCTGGGCAGATCATTCTATACCTTCGAGTACGGCGAAGCTCTGTGCGTGAAAACTCCGAATATTATAGTAGAGAATCCGCGATATATTAAACGGACTTTTAATAAAATATACTTAACGAGTATCTACGAATAGAACATACTTGTATTTTGCGAGAAGCAATAGAAATTCATTAACAGCGTACTAGCTTTTTTGTAACTGTAATTATACAGCCGCGAGTGTCGAAGTGACTTATTATATACGCGAACGGTAAAGCTCGTGAGGGTATATCCGAGCTTGCACCAGCTAAGCCGCCGCCACCACCAGCCGGGCAGCCACGACCGTCAGTTCAACAGCCGCCACTACCAGCCAGGTAGCCGCGACCAACGGCCAAGCAGCAGCCTAGCAGCAGCCTAGCCGCAGCAGACCGACAGCCACTACCAGCATCAAGATCGACGATCATCTGCCGACGTAGCTTGTAAGCTTTGTTTCAATAGTATTAAGTTATTTTGTTTATAATTAAGTCTTGTGTGTGAATCTCACTCGAGCGTTATACACTTATTTCACGTTCCTCCCCTCTGACAGCAACAGTAACAATTCATTCTAAATAATAAAGTTATTACCCTATACCAAAAGGTATATAACAACTATTTAGATTTCATAACCAACAGGTATTTTTTAAAAAAGGCAATTAGTTCACTATACATCGAGATATTAATACCATCGTAAGCTTTTATGCATGCCTTAAGTATGGAATAACGTGACCACAAAGTAGGTGGTAAAAGAGTTTGACCAATATCATTGAAGTAAACGAGTAAAACCTCTTCTTTAAATGATTTCGCCATTTCTTAAATTCATTATACGCATGTATATGTCAATTAGATTTTTTCGGCGGCAAATTCAATGCCATCTCTTTAGACTTTTCAATAATATCGTCCGGCGCAAAATCGTCACACTCGGAAGCCCTACTCATTTTGATGCTGTTCTTTTCACGATCACACAATAAATGACAAAAATTCGCGTATAGATTTTGAATTATACGAGGACTAGCTGAACGTTACAACTTTCTTTCCGTCGTAACTGTAAGACTATGCTGTGCACGCTTAAGAATGTAAACATTGAACGGTAGTCAATGGCTATGACTCATAGCTGTAGATATACACGCACATAAGTGTATAGTCGCACCTCGTACACAAACCAAACAACGTGGTGTCGTATTACATTCGCTACCGACGTATACTTAAGTGCGTGCACGAAAGTATTTTGTTTTAACACGCTGTAGCCACAGCTGCGGGATCTTTTACTTTCGAAGCATCCTACTGACAGCGAAAAATGAACTTTCCGCACTTTATATCAAAAACGCTTATTTTAAATTGCTTGATGAAATTTGTAAGTTGTATGCTTTACATTCAACGCCAGCTTATCTATATAACATGGATGTAACGGGTTTTGCAATTAAATAATACACCAGGAAAAGTTATTGCCACAAAAGTTGCAAAAGATGTTCATTTTCTATCATCGAAAGAAAGAGGTGAAACGATTACTGTCGTAACCTGTAAAAATCGGCGTATGTGAACACAGAAATTTTTTTAGATTGGCTAGAAATTTTCTACCTCGCGAAGGTACCAACATAGCATTATTAATTTTGGACGGACATGCTTCACATACATCCAACGTGAGAGTTTTGGACTTAGCGGTTAAAAACAAAGTCGTATTTCTATGTTTGCCAAGTCATACGATCCACTATCTACAATCATTAGATAGATCATTTTTTAAATCATTCAAATCTTGTTAGAAAACAACTTTGAGTAATTGGGTCTTCAACCATCATGGTGTAGACCCATTACCAGATACCAATTTGGCTCACTTTTAAATACGGCTTGGTCAAAATCGGCCACTACTTCCGATGGAAGCAGCAATTTTAATGCTTACGGTATTTTTCTATTCGATCCAGACAGAATTTCTGATCATGAGTTTGCTTCTTTAGATGCAGCTGTGAATAATATCGAAGTACCTTCAACTACAAGCATGAATTCAGTTACTGAATCTAACAGATCTCAAGTATCTAAAACACCAAGTGACGTGATAGATACGGAGCTACTATGTCTCATGATACGAGTTTTGAAGATATAAGCTCCATACCAAAAATTTATAAACCTAAACCATCTGCTCGAAAACAACATGCTACAGTTTTGACTGATGCCGAAAATATTCATAAAGTCAGAGAAAACATGGAAAAAAAAACTTAAAAAAAGCCATCGAAAAGAAAAAATACTGCCAATAAAATAATAACACAAAAAANAAAAGAAAAAATACTGCCAATAAAATAATAAAAAAAAAAAAAAAAAAAAAGAAAAAGAAGATTGAAACGGAGACGTCACAAGACAAATCTTTAATTTCATTCAATGATTCTTCAGATAGCAAAGAAGATTTTGAAGATATCTGTGTTTGTTGTAAAATTAGCTACTATAGTAAGAATAGACGAAAATGTGATTGGGTTCAATGTGGACAGTGCTCAAAGTAGATGCACGAATTGTGTTGTCAAAATGGAATTTGGCCTACGTATAATAGTTGAATTTCGTTCGTTATTTATTGTTTAATTGTTATTTAGTTATTTTTTGGTTGTGTATTCCGTAATAAAACAGTGTGATTGAGTTACTCATTGACTTTAAAATGTGGAATATTCATATTTTATTGATCAGTGTGCATTGAAAAAGAGGTTTTTCATTGTGCTCAGATTAGTAGCATATTGTCCCAATCGGGGTGGCCATCTTCCCCGCGTGCTGATGGAAAACGCCACTTTTGAACAAAGTTGCTAAATTTGTTATAACTATTAAAATAACAATATAAAGTGATAATTTTGCTTTTTTTATCATGCATAAACGTGTTTTTTACAGTCCTCAATAATTCAGATTTGATTTCATACATTCATTACTTTTTTATTCCAATTTTTTCCTTAGCTATGGCGTATTCCCCCGCTCTACCTTATGAAACTAACTTAAATCCATATTCATAGTCATGTAGTTTTAATGGACAGAAAATCATCTTTAATTTGGTTATTTTAAAAACATTGTAAGTCATATAGAACCGGAGATAAAGCTGTCTGAAGTTAAAAGAAAAATCTATGTGCCAAATCTAGTCCATCAACGGTTCACAGATTAAAAGAGAGAAGTAGAGTAAAAGAAAAAATATGTTTTCATCCATATTCGTGTATTCGTACGCTTTTACATTTTATCATGTTATAAAGTGCATATATATCGTCGCTGCGTTCGGGCCCTAAACTACGCCGTGCTAGAAAGTGTTATTTATGTTATTTTGTATCATAAAGTACTATTTTGGCGCTACTGGCAATTTATGACGTCCGATCCTTTTTTTCCATCCAATATTTTTTTTTATTGTCTATGATTAATTTTGTCGATTTTCTTGCTGCCATCATAAAAATATTATCACGAAGGAGTTATTTTTAGTTATTTTTGCATTTCTTATAAGCTTCCGTGCCACAAGATACGTAATAGTATGTTTTCAGGAGAATAGACTAATTAGTTTTCTTTACTTGCAATGATTTGGCGTCTAATATCATGTAGTTATGATAAATTCTTATAGTTTATTTAATTTGTAATACAAAATTTATCTGCTTACTTAAAAGTAATATTTTCACAGCTTATTTCAAATCCAATGGTTTTGTTTCTTGATGAACCAACTACTGGGCAAGATGCTTTTACAGCTAATATTTTAATCAAGTATTTGAAGAAACTTACGATGAAGAATCGAACCATTTTGTGCACTCTGCATCAACCAAGTTCAGAATTATTCAACTATTTCGATAATGTTATCATAATTGCTGATGGTCGAGTTGCATTCTTCGGTACGAATTTGGAAGCAATGAAATTTTTCGCTGGGTAATATATATTTTTTAATTACGCAGAATAAATTATCTGCCTAGTAAACCCTTCAATTTTTAATTATCTGAATTTTTCAATTTCAGTTTCTGAATAGTGAATTCTTACCTTGAATCGCTTTGGGTGTTTCACCCCCGCCCCCTTTACCTCATCGCGTTTCACATGCCAACCCCTCAAGTTTTTGGATCCTTATTTTAATAACTACCGTAATTTTATTTATGTCAAAACCACTATATCTGTAATTTAATCCCAGCGGAGGTCGTCATCAGTACCGACACTAGTAGCAGTATTAGTGGAACTTTATTGACGGAAGAGAAAGTAAACGTGTGAGTGGAGGAGTGATAGCAGATTATTTATCTAGAATAAACCCTGATACTTAATGGAGTCTATCGAACATGGCTTTTAATAATATTACAGATATACTCGGCCAGCCAGAAATATAATTATTTGCTACGAAATATAACACAAAGTGCATATCTCAAGATTTCCAAAAACTGACGCAGTCGAAGTCGACGCGTTCATCTTCTCGTGGAAAAAAAAGAAATTTTATGCTTCTCTTCCGTTTGCAATCATTTTCAAAACACTGCGGAAAATTGAGAATCTATCAAGGATTTATCAAGAATTTTTTTTCTACTATGGACGGTGGCAACTTTATTTATTTATTAAATTGATTTTTCATCATGTTCACGATAGTGCCTTTTTAATTACTATAATTGTAAATGTGCTGGAGTTCACCAGCTAATCAGTTTAGGCAAAAAATTTCTCGTGGCTTCGTAAGGTTTCCTCGGGTCGAAAGCTCTGGATCGATACTGACACTCGGGTATTGATTTCAAATCATGATCATTTCTATAGGATTACATGTTGATCGCACTTTCAGTCCGGTATTAGGAAGTACCGCGTTTGCAGAGGAGAGGTTATAATGCTATCGATCGAGCGAAATTTAACTACTTTTCCTCTAGACTTCAAGAGGCACCTGATGCCAAATTATAATCGTATACATTGTATTATTACTTATATTCTATCACAATTTCTTCATTTTAAAAAGAAAAAAAATGCATTTACCTATTTATATTTTCATTCGGGCCAGATAAGGCTTGCCTTGAGGCCTAATAAACTAAACTATCAAACTATCATAGGAGGCAATTGACATCCTGATAGCATCAATAGCTCCGGCTACATTCAAGCAATACAAATCCGCACTAAGACCATGATTCAACTTCTGTCAAGGTAATGAAAACGCCAACTTCTTCAATTCGTCAAGACACATGGTACTTCCGTACTTTATAAAAAAAATACAATGATGGAGCCTTATATGGGTCACTAAATACTCACAGTAGTGCCATTTCTCTCATATCCCAAGATATAATCGGGGATGCAGATTTCCAAAGGGTATATACAGGAAGAGACTTACAAGTAGAGCTTTTCAGGTCCGGGTCATGGATTCGCTCCAAAATTTTTTTGCGGTTTCCTGGTACCCAATACTGAAGCTCCCTGTGCTTAGTTTGATCTCATGGGCCTTAAGGCCCATTTTTTAGAGGATTTTCCACATTATAAAAAAATCTTTGTTATTTTCTATATTGATATAGAAGTACTTGAACGAAAAAATGCAATGATCAAAAGTTTTAAAATTTTTCAAAGAATCTGCTTGAATTTTTTCAGAATTTTTGGGACCATCCCGAAAGTGAAGCATCCGTGAAAATAATCATTTTAAATTTATATTCTCTAATTACACGAAAACTAGAAATTATATTCATTTTCCACCATTCAAAATCAGTAATAGTCGCTTGAGATACAAACATTTTCCCTTCATAATTACCATTGTTATTTTTTAAAGCAATACTCTTGTCAAATTCTAAATTTTTGGTATACATCATACCGTATTCAACCCCAACAACAGCTGAAACCAGTAGTCTGAGCATAATCCCTAATTTTATATGATTTTTTGAAATTAAAAGATTTGATTTTTTCTAATATTAACAATTTCTTTTTCTCCGTTAACTCAATAGTATAACATCTTTATTGTGTACATTTATTGTGTACCTAATATTTTCTAATCACTCATTATAAGAGCTTCCATATAACAGAGCATCATCAAGATATACATTAGAACGATAGCCTTTAAAAGGCAAAAAAGAAAAAACTGTTTTCATAATTTTTGTAAATATAAGTGGACTCAGACACAAACCAAAAGGCAACGATAAAAACTGGTATAAGACCCTATTAAAAATGAATCTAACATATTTTCGTACAAGAAAGAAAGCATTTTCCAAGTCAATAGTGCCTAAAAAATCGTTACGATTAAGGATGCTGCAAGCTGAACGCATATCTTCCATTTTGAAGTGATTAGGAACTATAAACTTATTAAGTTCAACTAAATTAAGTATAAATCTATTTGAACCATCAGGCTTTTTCCTTAAAAAATATGATGAAATAAATTCATTTGGTTCATGTTCACATTTTTCTACAGCTCCAATATTAATTAAATTTTGCACAGACTCGGAAATTGCTTTTTGTTCTTCTAGTGTACGTATCGGCTCTTTACGTACATGAGTTTGAACAACTTTTTGTTCAAAAGTTATTTTATAACCCTTTATACAATTAAGAATAAATTTATCTTTAGTAATAAGATGCCAACGTTTCAAAAACAATGACAAACGACCTGCAGTATATTTACTCAACGCTTGCGATTTTGACCCTGACTGCGATTCTGATTGAACGTATTTTGAGAATTCGGCTTCGAATTCTTTGAATTGAAAACATTCTTCTTGAAATGAGCACTTTTGTAATATTTTTGGCCCACCTGACTTACAAAATTCGGTTTTGTCAGGGGCCGATTGGAGTTTAAAAACCTGTTATTTTCTTTTTTGTATGAGGTCTCCTCAAGAATCAGAGTTTGCTTTCAGTCACCAGCTAATTTTTTAACATTCACCATCATATCATGGCCAAAAACAAATTCATCAGTCTTCAAATCATTAACGATTGGTCTAATATTCTTTTTAAGCAAAGGAAAAATGCAAGATTTACGTCCGATCAATTGACCATGATGCAAAAGAGAAATAATCTTCCCTGCATCAAATAGTTTTTCAATTAAAAACTCACGATTCAAAACATTGTCTTTGCCCAACAATGATGATGCTGCAAAGCCAATCGTAGTCAAGGCAGAACCAGCAAGCTTTTGAGTTTTTACAAAATACGCATCACGCTTTTTTACTTTATCAGACAACATATAAATAAGCTCTGGATTCATTTTTTGCCATTAAACTTTTCAATGGGTTCATAAGCTTTAATTAGCTTATCAGTTGCTTCGCTATTGAGACCATTGTATAAACAATCCTTCCATCTAACAACAAGATGATTATGTACCGGCCTTTTCGGCTTCGTAGGTAGAATTGGATCATCACCCAAAACACGTTTTGCTACTTCGTCAATCTCTATAACCTCAATGTCATTGTCAACCACAGCAGAGGAAGGTAACTCCGACTTCTTCTCCAAAGGTGCAGGATTTGATAACGTCTTTGACGCAGTAGCATTAGTTGAATCGCTTACTTGCACATCTGTGTGTATAATAAATCACACAATAAATTTACTCTGCTCACGTCTTGCATCAAGTACAAGCTCGACAGGTTATGTTTTGATGCAATATATATCTCACCTCTTGTGTAAGCTTCATTGTTCATTTTATCAGAGTTAGCATTAATTAGATCAACATCGATCGTTCCTGTAGCCGCAACATGTAAAGGCGTCGTTGGAGGAGAAGAAGTATGTCTCGACATAAAACTCGAAGAACGTGAACGTCTTAGGCGGCTATTCTCGCTACTCTCGCTATTCTCGTCTTCTTCTCGATTACGATCGTGGCGACGATCATGGCGACGACCTTGTCGATGCTCATCTTCCCCACGCCTAGAACGATAACTTACACTTCGAGAACGAGTGCGATAGCGTGTTCTACGAGAACTTGATCTCCGTGAACTCCGATGACGACTACGACAATGTCTATCGTAGCTTCTACTGCGCTCATCATCATAATCATAACGGCTGCCGCGACTGCGACGTCTGCGATGGCTATTACTTCTTGAACTCGCCCGGCTCGAACTCCTATAAGTATGACTCCTACTCCTTGATCTGCTTCGCACACGACCGTCACGATGCCTCATTATAATATAGATTTAATGAAAAATTTTCTCGAACTTAAGAAAAAACTATGTCTCCTAACCAATGTGTTCTGTTCGACACGAAAAAACAATATGATGATTACAGGAGGAACAGTGAGAAGTAAGCTGTAAGGTGATGGTTTTTTGTCTCTAAACATTCGTGGTTCTGATCGTTCGAATTAACGATCTACATTAATTACTCAAGCAAGGAGTAAGTTTAATTGGTACAATGGATGTAGGTATGAGATATTTTAAATTTAAGGAAAATTATTTACTCGATTACTTCGATGCTGATTTTACCAGCTACTTGGAGACAAGACGCTCCACTACAGGCTATATATTTTGTGTGAGTGGTGCTCCGTCACATGGACTTCAAGAAGGCAAACATTGGTAATATTGAGTACGACTGAGTCAGAGTATGTTGCAGTGGCGTCTGCTGCTGAGGAACTTGCGTAAATTGCTTAATTATATTGGATGTACAATGCATATGTGAGTCAGGTCATCCACTGTATATTAATAATCAGAGTGCTATTAGACTGGCGAAAAATCCAGAGTGCCTCAAACGAACAAAGCATATAGACATACGATATCATTTTCTTAGAGAAAAATGTAATCAGGGTGTAATTAAGGTTTACTATGTTCCTTCAGAGAAATAACTAGCCGATATATTAACCAAAGCTCTGCTGAGAGACAGATTTCATTGGCTGTGCGAAAGCTTAGGAATGATGAGCGCGTCACACTTTGAATAATAAGTTACTTTATGTCAAGCACATGCAAGCGGTGGAAGTGTTGAAGCTGTAGCTTTATATGTGCTTTCATATTATGTACGTTATAATATCTATCTCCCTCTTTCGGAGCAACCTGTATTTTACTTATTATGTAAGCGACTGAACAACTATAGTCAGTCGTGTTTCGTACGCAAGCCGAACGTGTAATCTACGTTTTCAAATATATTATTATTTCTATTACACATTACGTTCTTTGTAGTGATTATTACCAAAATTCCAACAAATATAAATCAGGATGGTGTTTGCCCACTTAAAGAGAGAAGAATGGTTGTGCCATCCTTCACTCATATTATTCGTCTTATGAGAGCTGGAGCAAACCGCTTTAAAATGGTTCCATGCATCCATGGGGTAACGAGGTTATACTCTTTTTCTTTTACATCTTGCCGTTATACGTACAATGTAGTATACGAAAAAATAATCTATTATTGGATTAAGTCTGCCCTGAACCTCATCTCAAAGCAAGTGAAAGGAGTGTTAAACGTTTTCAAGAGAAACGAAGGCAAGAGTCAATAGCATATTCATGTGGATTCTGAATTCACGACTATTAAGATCGTTATACAAATCTTGAAGTTTTGAGTCTTGAATTTTTCGATATACAGACTGGCCTAGATGGAAGATGCAGCTTTTCACATTCGAGTTGGGAAAAAGTCGTTTTACAATATTCAGTAATGTCCAATTCGAAATCTGTCATCAAAGTATTTAGTTGTAAAAATGTTGTAATAATTGATTGGATATTTGTTTCTTGGAGTACAATATTTCAAAAAGAAAAAAATATTTCCATAAAAATGTTTGTTTATAACGAATTTTTAGAAAATAAGGAATAAAGGTAGATATCAAATCTAAAAGTTCAAATTTTTCAAATCAAGTACCATAAACCGACCCCCCCCCCCCCCCCCCNCCCCCCCCCTCAAAATCACATTTACGTGCAAACTTGTTTTATACTACCCTTGTGGGCACGCGCGCTCTTAGATGCATACACAAGCACACCATTTTCCCAAAAAGTGAGATGAAATAGTCTTGTTCTATTATGCACGCTCTCAGCTACATTTAGTTGAACCTAAAAATGTAGGACCCAAATATTACATAAATAATTGTTCATGTAGCCCAGACGATTTCACATAGGCAAACTATAATTATCAATAATTATTGATATATTGAAAACACTGGATCTTCAAGCTTAATTTCATTTTTCCAGTTTGGGGTACATATGTCCACATTCTTACAATCCAGCTGATTTTTTTATCTCGACTCTTTTTTCTGATCATTTTAAAATAAGTCCTACAAATAAAACTCAAAGAATATGTGATGCATTTTTATCAAGTCATTTTCATAAGAAATTGGATTTTAAATTGGAACTGAGCATTCATGAAATACAGTCAAAAATGGTATGTAGTTTTTATATTAAGACTTTACTTATCATTAGGGAGTTATTACTAATCATTTCGGCATTATGAATACATAACATATATTTTTTAACGATTCACGAGTTTTCATTCAATCGAGAACCATTGCACAAGTTGAATCTGAAATATAAAAAATAGCACTCGAAAATGCGACCAACTGGAATTTTGAGTATGAAAGATTTTTTCATAAAAACTCTGCTATGTGGTTGTACTATAGGTAACCTTCTTTTGACTAGCACCTAGAACCCATGATCAAAATTTTTATTGTATTAATTAGATTTTTTCACCCTCACAACAGTAATCGTGTATGATAATTTATTACTTGCAAAAATTATGTAGAATAGAGTATCCCTTAGTTCCCAAATTTGAGAATTTTCGTTTCTCTCAACATTTATCGTTGGTTGCCCATGAAAAAATAAATTTTCAATTGTTTCAGCCTTTAGAAAGTGCCTGTAACCCAGTTTCAAAGCCAGTTTGGATTTAATGTGATTTAAATACTGACAATATAAAAAATTTCATACATTGGTTTGAAAGTTGACATTTAGACTTTCAATTTAATAACAGAAAAATTTTTCATCGACCTGAGACCCAAGTATAAATTTTAAACTGGTTGTTATTGCCCAGGTTGTTCCGATCTTTGCTTCAGACGTTGATTCTAGTTTCTAGAGGGTAAAAACTCAGAAAAACACGGATACGAGTCCAGAAGGTTATTGTTAAGGCCGCTACTCAAAAAGCCGAAAATTTTCGAAAACTTTTTTTTGAAAAAGTTTTCAAATAATTCTGTAAATATTTTTTCGTGTTCTTTGCCACTTTTCGATTAAATGCTTCTATCTCGATATAGAAAATCGCAAAGTTTAAAATGTGATGTGAAATTTTTGTTTTTCATGAACCACGTTTTTAAACTTTGCAAATTTCTATATCAAAATAGAAGCATTTAAACGAAAAGTGGCAAAGAACAAGAACGTCTAAAAATTAGTCAAAGAACACGAAAAAAATATTTTTTAACACAATCAAAGTCTGGAGCAAAGATCAGAACAACTTGGAAAATAACAACCAATTCTAAAGTACATGCGCATCACGAATCATTACATTATACATATTTTTATAAAAAAGTATTTTATAAAAGTTTATAATATACAATATGTTTTTTATAAAATTTTATACAATAAAAAAATGATTTAAAAAAATGTATATTATAAAAAAAAATTTTATAAAAAAACTTTATAAACAAAATTTTATAAAAAATGTCCCTCTACCTAATTGTCAGGAGAGAGCATAACGAATATCGTTACAGTATCTTTTACCCGTTAATCGTTCCTAGGTATAACACTGGCACACAAAGCAAAGATAATTTTCATTTCAAGAGACTGGACCTAGTGGACTTTATGTTTTTCCGAAATCCGAATTCGATGCCGGTTTTTATAGATTGGCTTATTATCTAGGTCATTTAAAGGTCAAAATTAGAAAAAATTGTAAAGAATCTGGAAAAATGTATGTTTATGCTCCTCGGAATATGGCTTAGTGAATGACGGTATAAAAAAATGAAAATACCATATTCGACGTATTTTTTCACGAGGAATACACTATAGTGAACTTAGATTGTACTTTCGACACAACCACAGGGCTATATTGAACCAATAATAGATTTTTCAATGAAAACCGAGATTTTTTATTGAAAATTTTAGAAGAGCAAAAAATTTTACGTTTGAATGTACCTTTTTTTTTTTAAGGTCATATCAAAGGTGAATTGTATACGTGATTTTTATAGATTTTTTAATTGAATTCTCTAACAAGAAGACCACTCCACTCCAGGTCATGGATCTGCTCCAAACTTTACTTCTGTAAAATGCTTATGAGATCGAACTAAACCTATTGGGCATGCTTTTTGGGTGTACAAAGTACCCTTAAAAAGGTAACCTGGAGTTAAGACCACTCCTTGTAAATTTGACCTTCAAATGACCTTGAAGAGATCATCTGACTCTGGATTTGGATTCAGCATCCTCAAAAACCCCAGATGAATTTTTTAAGATGTTTTTACCACTTTTCCTTAATCTAACAACCAAATGACCTTATGTCTGTGTTAATTTCCATCACTGAGGAACACCTGTGTGGGTGTAGTGAATAAATTAAAAAACAAATTGTTACAAGTAACGTTTTATTAGCAATAACTTAATGAGAAAAACTGTTTTATAATTTATATTTTACTATTAAAAGTTATTCGATAACTCAATGAAAAATATTTGATTGGATTTCAGATTTCGAATCCATGGAACAAGAAAAAATTAAGGTAAGGATAAAAATAATTATTTACATATCAAGTAGATATGTTTGAGGAGCTTGTTTGATGGCGTGCGTCGCGGCTTCGGTGCTTACTATTTCCATCTGCAAATAAACCGAGACCATATGTGTGAAAAATAATTTTTTTCCATTAGAGTACGTTTTGAGGAACATAGGATACAATTTTTTTATACGAAACATTATAATTTTTTTTAAATGTTACACTGTATACATTTTGATTTTAGTTCGATAACATAAATCTTAATTTCTCAACTCTATTTGGAACTCGTTATTTAAAATTTATTATTAACGTAAGTTTTTTATTGTAAAATTTGGCAAATTAACATTTAGTATTTTATTCTTCCCTAAATAACACATTTTTTAAATTATTCATAGTAAAATTGTAAATTTGTGAAAATACAAACTTCTTTCATGTTCCTTTTTTTCCTAAATAAATGGAGTAGTTTAACTCATCTTGAGTTAAAGGCTCATAACTACCTAAAAAATCGAAAAAATTTTATAATATTTTTGAAAAGTATTTTTTTCCCATTTACACGGCAACTCGTACCGAATGAATTTCCAAACTTCTGTAAGATTAATAGAATCAAACATATTCTATCCACTCAGAATATACAGATGAAAATGCAGCTGAAAATGCGCAAAGATATTTAAATTTGGTTTTACGAAAGCTTCATTAGATTTTGAAAATGATGTAGAACGAATAGAAATTTCGATTTTAATTTTTTACATACAGGGTTACATCTTGATGTGTTTTTTTGCAATTCATAAAATACTTTTATCTCTTTTTTTACATGTAATCAATGAAAAATCTAAGATTTTGATTTAATGCAGGTGTCATACTTTTTCGTGCCATAGGACTCTGTTACTGATTCAACGTGGGTTTTTGCAAATTTACAGGAGTTCTTCTATAAGATGGCTTCAAATATTACAAAAAATTGTAAGTATGTTTCTACTGTTTATATTAGAACAGCTTTTTTACTTGTTGGTGTGTTTTGGAGGAGGGTTTACGGATCTGACCCAAGCCTTCAATTAACATTTCAGCTCTCTAGGACGGTGGGGGACATTTTTTATAAAATTTTGTTTATAATTCTTTTTTTTATAAATTCAAATTTTTATAATCCATTTTTTATAATACCTATTTTTATAATAACATTTATTTATAATAAATTATAAATTTATAAATATAAATTTACACGTATACAACGTATGTATACACCGAGCTCATCGACTTATTTGTCAACATATGTATATACAGCAGAGCTGATCTGATCAGATTTGTGAACAGAATTTAATAACTATACATCATAGCTTCTTCTACTGGCCACAAAGTAACGGTTTTAATAAATAACATGGCCAAGTTGGTAAAGTCCCGAGGTTCCAGTTATCATCTATCCTTAGAAGGTTTTCTGTATTATAAAAACGGCGGAACTATAGGAAAACGAGCGTACTGGCTTTGTAAAAAGACCTCTCAGTGTTGTGCCCGAGCTGTGACTATCGGTGGTACATAGATGATTTACAATTGGTGAAAGGTGCTGCGAGTGACCACATATGTATTCCTGATGTTGACGCAGTTGAAGCAATCAAGGTTGTGTCATTATGATTTTCTAATTCTACGGTTATCATTTAGGTGCCCTACAACACATACTTGAAAGAATCAATTTGCGCAAAGGTATATCACGACTTAGACTGAAGACCATGCCAAGTAATCCTCAGTCGATTGACGAATTACAAGAAATTGTTGAAAAATTTAGACAGACTCTATCTGGTGAGCAATTTGGTATGTATGATTCATTTGAAGACGAAGACGAGGACTATGAAGGAGGTCGAATTGTAACACTGTGCACACTAGAAAACTTACTTCTGACGGAGATCAAAAAAGAGCAAGCAGACATAGAAATTCTTCTAAGACATTTGCAATTAGGACAGAAAGTACGGAAAGAACAAGACCCACACCGCAAAAAGAAAGAAGAAAAATTATTTTCATTAGTTTCACAATATTATGAGTACGTTGAAAATGATGATGTTATGTCATACTTGAAAAATATTAGTACCATTATAAGATTATAAAATTTGGTTTCATAAAAAATCGATTATAAAAAAAAAGATTATAAAAAACGTACGTTATAAAAATGTCATTATAAAAAAAAATTTATAAAAAAAATTTTATGAAAAATGTACTCCAACCCTCTAGGACTCTAGGGCCTAAATCCAGACGGTCGAATTTCTAGGTAAGAAATGTACTTTTCATAAAAAATTACGTGTAGCTCCATAACCACACTCCAACCTTCCTTCCCCTTTATAGGGTGACATTAAAAGGGGATGGAAAGTCGTAAAATTGTGGTTTTTATCATTTTTTACTGTATTATCTGTTTTTTGATTTTGGTTTTCATCATGTACGTAAAAGACAATTGCGATAAGCTATTGACCTTTGTAATATCTTTTTTGAAAGGTATTTTTATTAACTTCAAATTGTTTGGCTCAGATTTCAGATCGGTTAAAAATCGATGAACTATTGATAGATATGCTAATTGCGAAAAGGACAAGTTCGTAAGTAAGTTTTTACAAGATTTTGATAGGCTGTAACTCTGGTCTGGTATAATGAATCTTCACCAAATTTTATGTAAAAGTACTTATTTATTCATACAATAAATTTTGCGACGAACAACTAACGGGCCTCTTATTTGGCCTTGCAGCGAGTTGGAACCCGCCTGAACTTATTTATCTCGCGAGAAAGTGCAGATCTCACACAAAGTTGGACCCGCTGCTGGTGAGTCCTTCACACCCTCCTGGATCTTGCTGAAATTCGGCTTTAGGGATTGGCAAAGAAGCTAAGGAAAAATTCTCAATTAAAAATTGCTTTTTTGCTTAGAACTAATCGTTAATTTACACCTTAGGGTCCATGAAGGCTTACTACACGCGTCGCGTTACGTCTTTGGGTGATCCGCACTCAACTGTGGGCCTATTTCTACCCACGTTTTTCGCGCTGCTTGCAAGCCAACTGACACACTCACTCATATCAACTCAAATCATACACTTGCCCCCGGGTGCACTATCGAATAAACGCCAACCGAATATCTTAGAATTAATCTTAAATCTTCAGCGCTGGATACTAATTCTCGTTGCTGGCCATCCTTATAAGGAGTTCCTCCTTATAAGATCCTGGAAGTCGATCCCGAGTATACTCGGGACATCACAACAACAGGGAAATCACAAGCCCAGTCCAGGCTTCTCGGTCGAAAGCTGCCAGCCCTAGCTCTGGTCAACTTGGTCCTCTCTCGGGCAAATTCCCAAGCTCACATAGGACTGCAGAAACTGCACTTATTTGAATTACTTGGGCGATCACCAGCCCAATCACATCTTGAGTTTTTTGGTCAAGCACACGCCCAGTGAGCCAAGCATCCGGGCACAATGGATAACCGTCGAGTCAAAAGTAATTTTTAATTTTCAGTAATAATATTACCACGAGCTATCCTCCCTAAAATTTCCGCGAAAACTACGTCACCGTCCTGTCAATGTGTTATCGTTAATTCCACAAATATTTCGAACGAATTAAAAGCAATTGCCCCATTTGCAGCCTGGTCGTCTTTTAAATTTATTATTGTATAACGGTAAATTTACAGACGGTAATTGCTTGAAATCGCCAAAAAAGTACACAAATAACCCTGCAAATGGTTCATTGCTTGACGGGAACAAATCATAACTCCTGCTTTCGATTTTATGTAGTAGTCTACTTCCAACCATGGACATCTCGTCAATCATTACGACTTTAACATTCTTATTATTTTGCTGATATTTACGCAGATTTTCACCTTTAATGAGTTCAAATTTGCTGGAAAATAAAGATAATTTAAAAAACGAATGGATAGTTGTACTATTAATATTTAACGCTGTGGCTCTTATAAGGACTAACAGGGCATTATAAATTTCGTTGAAAAATTTAACTATGCCTCTAAAAATCATATTTATTATTGACCTCTTTCCCTAGTCTGCTTTGCCTTGAACAATAATTCTCTTGTAAATATGATCATTCATATTGTTATTATTTTTAGTATTGATTTGGGCCGTGCATAAGTCAATCACTTTTTGTTGATTAGGCGATAATATTATATTTACTACGTTTTAACAATCAAGAAAAGATATGGACTTATGTTTAAATTTACTCAAAAGCTCCATTATCACTAACTTCGATGGATATTTACAATCATCCGACGACCAACACAATAAATAATTGTGTGTCACATCAATTAATCGCTGTCCTAAGGATTGGTCTGGCTTTTTACTAATTGTCAACGATATTAGTTCAAAAGTGTTACATCGTTTTTCATTATCACTCTTTTCAATATCACTATAACAATCTTTTACATTATCAGTAATATCTTATGAATTTGTTGATGTCAACTCGTACTCATAACCACTCATTAAATATACAGCGATTACGACTTCAACCCTCCTTCACCATTAATATGATTATCTAAAGCGTCAACATTACTCCTGTAATAGCTAGACGGGAGCATGCCCGCGAATAAGATAATAATAACCGAACGGCCCACGCATACAAGCATGCAGGCAGCAAGTGCGAGCGCATCCGCTGCCGTATACACGGGCACGGATGCACCAGCACTCATACGAGCGGGGAGCAAGTGCGCGCACACACACATACGCCACCGCAGAGTGAGCTGCGAGGCCGTAAACACTCGCACCAGCACTGATGGAGTTGCGTATGACAACTCGACAACAACGAGGGCCTGAACGAGCAAGCTGTATGTATATATTCCAGCATAGATCGATATGACGCATGGGCAGAAAGGAACGAATGAACGCGCAATCAAAGCTGATACACATGTGACAAAAACCATCACGGAGATGACTACAGGCCGAATCGCGAGGAAGAGCGGAGGTAATAATCGTTAGGTAGCATGTTTACGATCTTAAGTGTAAGACGGCCCAAGCGAAGCTCTTTGCATCCCGTCGATCTATCGATGACGGGCGCGCGCCGAGCAACACGACGAAGATATTTGTGAACACGCGCGTTAAGTGCAAGTGCCGAACATTCGAACGCGTAGTTTTCCACGACTAGCGATAGTCGCCAGTGGTCGCCAAGCAGTCTGAAGCCCACTGCACCGAGTCTGCGAGCCCGCAGCCCAGCAGCTGAACAGCTTAGCAGCCGAACAACCTAGCAGCCACGATCAACTGCGCCATTACCACTTCTGCCACCACCCCCAGTTACGAGTCTCATTATAATTGTAAGTGATTAATTTAATTAGTTGATAAGTCTCGTCGAACTTCTTGTAATAATATTTATAACAGTGATACAATAGAACAGTCTTGTGTGAACCCACACCCCTGTGTTTTCATTTCTTCTACCTCACCCCACCAGAGAGAGACAAACACGAATAGAATCGAGTCATTAGCTTTCAGTCAGCTAACGTATTTTATTAATAAGTAGTAGATGGGCTAAAAACCCGTCATTACAACTTGCTTATCAATATATTTTTACTATTACTTAAAGCTGGATTTATCCTTATTATTTGGGGGAGCATCCCGTTCCTATTTATCTTAAGTCGTATTGGTTTTTTTATTTTTTTTTGTCTTTTTTATTCACTATTTCCTTTACTAATCGTACAAGTTATCCTATACGCTATTTTCTTAGTTTTGTTTTTTTTTTGCATGTCTAGACGGCGGTTTCGCGCATTTCGACGTAATCATATATCGGCTCTTCGGCTTCTGCTCTGCTGTCTACTTGATGATCTGTCTACTTGCGATTGCGACTCGCTAGCATCATTACATAAAACGAAAACCGACAAATGCAGTTACTGCCACAGCCCCGATCACTACTTAGCAAATTTCATGAAATTTACAGTCGACACAAAAGGAAAAGACAAAGAAAGTTGCAGTCATTGTGAAAGCACTGAACACCACGTGAATAATTGCATGAAA